CTATTGGACTGACTTCTCATCATGAGCTCCGCCTCCAAGAAAAGAAGTGGAATTCCCCGTGCCATTGCGTACCTTTTTTCTGTAAAAAAATAGTGAAGAAAAAAGTGGGAAGTCCCCAAAACCCTCAGTTAAAGTCATTTTCAAAAGAGTAATCATCCGGTGGTTGGAACTACTATATAGGCAAACAGTTCGTAGCTTGACATTAGAACCTTCCCTTCACTTGGTATGCGCCATGTATACGATCCCTTTCCAAAATAACAGATACACTTGTTACTCGTTCGACCTGTTCATTGTGGGGACCAAGTCAGTCCTGCCAACTAACTCTTATCAGCCAAGCTGATCCTAGCTTGTAATTAAACCCTTACCCCTTCCTTGCCCGTTGATTTGAGCATTGATGCGACTCTCATCGCTGTGCCCTCTTCAACACTACGCTCTCTCACCTATCTAATCACTCGCCACGTATGCGGCGAGTGATCAGATGATCGGTGGGCGTGCACGGCCCACCGCGCCAAGATTGAGCCATAATAGGTCGCCGAGGTCAACTTTTCGGTGCCAATTGCGCTTCAGTTCGCACCCTCAGGAGGTCCGCGGGTCCCTCAACTAGGTGAATTACTCCTTCTTCGACCTTCATTCTAATCGTGAATTCGTCCTTTAATAATGAACAGAAGAGGAGAATTATGTCATCCAGTTTGCTATATCGCCAGAAGCTTAGGAGCATCTGAAATCAGTTGTCCTAATCTTTTATAGGGCTTCGTACTGTTCCGTTGTCCGGGAGGTGGTCGAAGCTGCATGCGCCTTCATCGAAATAATTGGCGATCCGGTTGGTGCACAATCAATCCTGGCGTCATCTACGTTTGGCCACTGGACAAGCAGATCAACACCGAGAATCGCCTAACGACGCCACTCGATCAAGAAGCCCGAGTTTCTGTGAGTTAGCAAGATTTTTTTTAGTTACCTGACACGGATCTGACACTACCCGGCACCATCTGATAGCATCTGACTGCATCTGACATCGCTGCTTTTTCCAGGATGGTTCACTGCAAGGCGATCGTATGGTTTGGGAACTGGAGTCCGGCAAACACACAATCCATTTCGCACATTTTGACCCTCTCGTCTGTCGGGGATTCATTGCAGGTATTCATACTTCCAAAGGCTCGAGGAACTCAAATCCCTAAATATTCTCAGATATTCGACTTGCCATCGAACGTCCAACACGATCAGCCCTACAGGAATTCGATCAACGACGATCCCTCCGATATGATGGTACGTTTCTCCCTTCGGATGATGAGCTGCCCAATTAGGTTCCTTCGGGACAAAATGGGGCAAGCCTAGACTGCTTTGATCTAACGCAACCTGACTTAGGTCGTCGTGTAGACCGAGAAGTTCATGAGCGAATGCAGTTGGAGACCGAGAAGCGACGATTGGAATTCGAGTTGGAACAAGAGCGGTTGGCACTGAAGGACGAAGAAATCGTACGAGGACTCGCCACGAGGTCAGTCAGTTCCAAAATTGTACAAGGCTGAAACATTGCCAGATTGGCAGCGTTAGGGGGAATCTGTTCCGGTCAGGCTGTTTGGAAAAAGAGCGGATCTCCTCCATCTTATCACTGCCCTAACGCTCATCCTCTCCCAGTTTCCCTTCCTGGTCTGTGGGCTGTTTAGAGAACGCATCGGTTTTTCAGTGGATGCCCCACCCATCGTAGGCGTGGCTCCGCGCAAGCTCATGTACAGCATGTACGTGTACAGCTTAGCCTGTACCTAACCCGGCTCAATATTGATGTAGCCCTTCCGAAAGGTTCTTCTGGTAAATAGCACCAAATTTTGCGTTGGACGGCTTTTTCAAACTTACGCGCGCCTTTTTACGCTGGAGGCAATTTTATCTAACGTCTTCATTTTATCCTTTAAAAGAACGCTCAGCCTGGCGTCGTTGGTTAATTTCTACGTTTTGCCTTCTGATCATGTGAACGTAAAGGCACATCCACGATCTTGTAAAGTGAAACAAAGCTCAGTTCAACAAAGGTTGAGTGCTTCACAAAGCATTGCAGAATGTTACCCTTTGTCGAATGAAATTCTGAAGGCAGAGGCCGCTAAGCTTAGGGATGTCATGGAAACTCCACCTAGTACACCGGATCCCACCTAGAAATGATGTTATAGACAGCGACTTTTCTCCTTCATAACTACGCGCTCTCTTCTCTGATTCTTTTCTCACTCCCGCCCCGTTTAGCTGTCTTATATCGCTATTTGTCCCTTGTACGTTCCCACGGTCTTTCATTTTAAGCGGTCTTGGTGGTTTCCTTCCATTTTTTCTTCACTATCGGTCCACTTTTAGTCTTTCATTTTTCAGCAAGCGACCGCGCCAAATGAACCGTACAGAGTGCCTCAAATATCGCTGTGAAAAACCAAACACATAAACAATAACGACTGTAATCGCTTATAATAGAAAGGGTGGTCGACATGAATGGGTAATAAATCAAGGGATTCCTCAGCCAATACGTCCTTCCGCCCGACAACTGTAGTATGGCCACGAGAAACCCATTATTCACCAGGCGCCGGCATTATGGCCTTGTCGTGTTGTGTGATGGGTTTATGGCTAATATGCTATGAAATTCAGTTCAGTGTGATTGTTTTAAAACTGCTCGACTCTTGTTGGATTATCTCGCCTTACCGAGATACGCGGCTTTCTATGACCACTGATATCGTTTACATTCCGTGGGAGACTCATAGGACAACTACAAGTGGCGGCATTGCCCACAGAAAGCATACTTCCCCCCGCCACAAATATCTAAAGGAATAATAGCGCGCCACGGATTCTATAAAATGGGGTCCAAATATGAGGCAGTATGACGGCAGGGGTGGGGAGCATGATCAAAGGAAGAGAAACTTCTAGAAAAGCTGTAGTGGACCAGACTGCGAGTCGATTAAGTAATGAAGGGAAACAGGGCAAATTGGAACCAAAAAGAGCATACAGGACGAGCGAGACGCAGGTGCAAATGGCAGACGTGAACATACGCGTGAGATGTGCGCTATTACGCTCATAAGCTTACAGCGTCCTAAAACGTACTTTTAGTCACAAAGGTGGCACTACCTCAATGCTCGCAGAACCAGCCACCTTACTCACATCTGCTTCTTCATCCCAAGTTGAAAAGCGTTGTACAACATCTATTACCGCCAAGAATTTTCGAACAGCTCTAGCACTGCATAACCTTAAAGGCAGTGGTCACAGTGGGTGGAGGGCGGTGCGGATTTTGATTACGTCATCAAACATCACTGGTGGAAATGCGTAGAGGCGATCAATGACGTTCACTGACGTCACCAGAATGCACACTCCTGCCATGGTGGTCACTGCCTTTAACCCAGCACAACAGTGGGCGTGATGGGATCTTTCAGCCGTGTAAACCGTATATCGAAACACCCCTGTCCGAGAAAATTTTGGCCACACCCCTAATCACAATCCACTCTTTCAAGCTCCCATTTTAGATTTTCAACGACTCTACATAATTGTAAAATACCATTGGTACAATACAATAGAGTTATTACTGAGGCCCACTGATAAGGTGATTCTAAGATAGCCTGTGAAATTTTTTAAAAACGTGAAAAAAAGGCCAAGGCCCAGCCTTCGATGGCAATATTTACTTGGAGATGGTTACCTTAGGCGCAGAAGAGGGTAGTGAAGTGTATGCGAAGC